CTTTTCCCCTGTAAATAAAAAGTGGTCCCAAACCACATATTTTCCTCTCCGTTTCATACTGCAGGGATGCAAAAACCCACACCGTCATAAAGGTCTGTAGCTTTATATGTCTAAGAAAATACTTGTTTTCAAAGTCATCACTGAGCAGCTGCAGAAAGATAAAGGGGGGGGACTGTGAAAAAATATTTCTTTAAAAGATAAACACGAGAAAAAAAAGCAAACAGCTAGAAATGGTGAAGAGCGAGCTAAGATAATAAAACAAGACAAAATAGACATTTATTTAGTTAAAGGACGATAAGTTTAAGGCTGATTTTTCCACAGACCCTCCAAAAAACAGGCCTGGCAGCCACTGACTCCGATTCTCCACCTGCAAACATTTCTATGCAGGTGCAGGCATCTCTTTCCAAATATTCAGGGCTTTCTTTCACTGAAAAGCTGTGCAGCAGGCTCTTTGGGAACAATGCAGAGCCCAGAGCTGAACTCAGGGCAAGCACCCAATGCAGCACAGCATACGTTCTGCAGGATTCTCTTCCTACACAAACAAATCAAACCTAACTATGGCACACAGTACCATGGATATCCTACTCATCCACGTCACTGCTTCCTTTTTGCAGCAGCATACTCCAATCTTCAGCATTGCAAACCTCATTTGCACAGACATTACTAGCTATGAGACTGGAAGCTCCTTCCAAAAAAGAAAAACACATAGACCAAAGCACACATCCATTATTTCACAGGAGGCACGAGCAGTATCACGTGTGAAGAAAGAGATACTGCAGGAACTAAAATGCAATTTCAGTTTTCCCTTGGAAATGTAAGGAAAAAAAGATAACCCACCATAACTGGACATGGATTGTCTGATACTGATACAGAAAGCAGCACTGCACCCACATTTTCAGAAAGCCGTAAGTGTGTGGGTTCTCTGTTTTTGGAACAAGAGCACATTTGTTTACTCTAGACACTGTACAAAGACTTAAAAAAAAAATGGTTGAAAGGATGCCTCCCCTCTGAGGAGCTAGCAGAAAATAAAAGGCAGATTTATATTTCTAATCTATGCAAACATCTACTCTACAAAGCATCACAAAGACTGCTTTATATCAGATAGTATGCAAATCCCAGGTGCCTTAAATATGCCAAAAGCATGTGCAGCATCTCCACCTGCAATGGCTACTCACTCTGAGAACAGCTGGATGACTAAAAAGAGGTTATCTAAGCAGCCCATAGAGCTTTCTATGAAAAATTCCTTTTGCTAATGTGCCAACTCCCATACTCCCACCCAAATGGCATCTGCTGTAGCTTCCATCAAGACTGAAGAGCTTTTTAAATTGATCTCATCTGCTTTAAAAAAAAAAAAACTTCAATATTTTTTCAAATTATAGTAATTACAAAATGGCCAAACTTTTACTGATGCCTTAGGAAATGATCATGTGGCTATAATTCATAATTCCCATTGGAAGATGTCTCTGGGACTGGGTGCATGTGAGACTGAGAATACAAGCAGAAAAGATGCTGGAGTGACTGGGATCTCAGAAGAGACAGCACTAAGATCAGAAGTTACCTGCAAGCAAGAATCTCAACACAAGACAAAACAGAAAGAGCAGACAGAATAGGAAAAAAGGAGAAGTAGGGGCTGAAAAAAGCTCTGTTAAGGAGAATGCAAAACATCAAGAGTACAACACTGTTACACTGAGAGAAATGCACAGCAGCAATGTTTGTTTAATTATTTTTACCAGGAAGAAAGAAGAAACAGGTGGTTGTTTCTTATACATTTCCCTTGGATACCTGCAGGGAATTTCCATCGCAGGTCAGGAAACACAGCTGTCCCGAAAAGCCTCACCATTTGCACTCAAATATCATTAGCCAAATAAGAGTGACTGTATCCTATTTCTTCTTCTTACCCTGTTCCAGTGCTCTATTTCACTTTTTCTGAGTAGGAAAAACAAAACAAAACAAAACAAAAACCCACACAACTAGTATGAGCATCTTTAAGCACATGTCACATTTATAAACACCCCATGGAGTCAGATCTGATCTACTAAAATGAACTGTGTCCCTCTGAGTACTCTTTGCCTCATCTTTTCTCACAGGTCTCAGAGGTTGACCGTCAGACTCGTGTTTTCTCTTTCCTTCCCAAGGATCCCACATGCCCTATCCTCTCACATCACAAATATCTCTTATGGCCTAACATAAGGCATCCCACACTGAGCCGTGGCTGTGCTTGTGGTTATGTGATGGGCACCTGCAGCTCTGAAGCTCCTCAACAGGCAACCTGGGGAATATTCACACACTCTCTCACTCCATACCTATGCACACTTTTGAAACAATGAAATCACCTGGACACAAACTAACATCCAAACAATTCCATCTGAACATTAAAAAAATAATTATAAAAAAAAAAAGACAAAAAACCCATACTCTGCTATTGTGAGGGTGATTGAGAATTTGTGGGGTCTCCTTCCATGAAGTTCAAAATTCCATGGAACCCAGCCCTAAGCAATGCCCTCCAGCTGGCCCAGCTCTGAGCACATGGGTTGGGCAGGATGAGCTCAAGAGATTTCTTCCAAACTCAGCCACTCTGTGGTTAGCACTGCTACTTGTGTTGTGCTTCAGCATGTCAGCTGACATTCTCACACTGTATTTCAGAAGGACAGTACTGACTACTTATTAGATTACTGGTAAATTTCTCTCCCAGCATGTCACATATGGCCAGGTGTTCATTGCATCTCTACCGCTGGGGGACACAGTGGTCAGACCAGTGTTACCTTCATTTCTGCATCATACATTTGGCTTGTAATATACAGCAAGTTATCAGCAAAACCACAAAAAGCTCCTGACCACTGTGAGAGGAACTGCTCAAGCAGAGCTCCTCTCTCTCGGCAAAACCCAAAAGCCTTGGATCATTTCCTCTCTATTCAACAACTGTACAAGGTCCCTGGCAGAATATTCAACCTGGGACAAATCTCTCATAACCCAGCTGTCACAGAATCACAGAATTGTAGGGGTTGGAAGGGACCTCCAGAGTCTACAAAGCTACAGATCAGAAGTGGAGTCTCAGTCAGCCAGTCACAATCAAGCCTAACCCCAAATGCGTATATACTCAGTTTCAAAACAAGTGTTTAATCAGTTTACCAAGTACAATCAAATTAAAAACAAACAAAAAACCAAACAAACTAAAAAAAAGCCCTATTTATCCATCTAATCAGACTTCAGATTAAGCCTTCCTCTGGCATTTGTTTCAAAGGAGTTCTCCATGTATTCACCACTAAATGCTCTGAACCTAAAATTTACTGAATCTAATTAGAATTGCACAGTTGAAGGTTTCCTGCCTTTACATCACCCTCACAGAAGAGATCCTGCTTCAGAAGAGAAAAAAAACCTGATCTTACAGGCTATTCTGCTTCTGAGACCCATTACTAATCTGCTAGTTTTGATGGAGGGATTAAAAAAAATAATATCAATGTGAGACACTTAGAAGTCTCTACAGCATATGTTATCAATCATATCAGAAGGAAAAAAAAAAAAAAGCAGCTGCTCAAATTGAGAGTTCTGTGAGGTTCAATTGTCATTGAAGTGTTTTGTTACTACCAACCTGGGCAAAATGAGCAAATATACCTCCACAGGTGAGATAAGAATGAGCAATCAGCACTGCAGGCTGCATCTTAAACAGGCAATAGCATCCAAGTATCTACCTACAGTTCATCCAAGCACACAATTAGGCTAGGATTAGGCCAACAACCACGAGCAACAGAAAGAAAAAAAAATAAAAAAATCAGACATTCTGACTGCACATTAATTAATTTTGAAGGAAATACTCTGAGGTTTCCTTCTTCCAAAGCACACAAGACAGGAATGCACAGATATAGACAAGTGTCAGTGTTTAGTTTCAAGTCTATTCACAGGGAAGTAAGATTTGTTTTCTTTAGGCTTTCAACTCCCTGTTTGACAAGAATTCTGCATACACAGTCGTGACGCTGCTTGACAGCTGTCATTTCATAAAATCAAATATTTTGCATCCTACCCAAATTAGTTCCTATGTTCAATCTTAAGATCCTTTAAAATACACCATATGCAAATCCTCAGCATACTTCATATCTTGCATACCTAGAATTAATCTACTGTTTCTCAACTACTCTTACACAACTTTTAGATACTATGACCATAAGGTGAATTTCACATTTGCAGTATCAAGGCTAGCACAGAAAGCTTCTGCCAGCCTGCACCTCTCATCCACTTATTCCAGTCTTGACGTTACAACAGCTGTGCTAATGCAACCATGTCTAAACCAGATAAATTAAATAATTTTGGCTAAAAAGAAAACAAGCCCATCCCTTTTTGGGTGAGGTGGGCTATTTTTTTATTTTTTTTTAATTTTTTTTTAATACAACACAGATGTGCACAAACCACAGTGATGTGGTTTACAAGGGCAGCCCCTCAAAAAAGCTGTATTGTTACAAATGCAGCACAGGGCTCTGAGTAAGAGAGTAATTCCCATAGAAGTTGTTTGCAAAGGTGAGCCTGATCATAATTAAAGGACTAATACCCTCTAACAATTTAAATCCTTTTGTGAACTACAAGGAGAAAGATCAAGAATGGGATGGGCAAAATCCAGAAAGAAACCAAAGTTCACTTTCAGCAAAACACAGATGTAAGAATAATAAACTGAAACTGTATGTGAAAGTCATCTGTACGTAGCTTTCTTCTGATCAGTTGAAGGCTAAAGGAGTATTGTCACGGTAGTCTCTTTCAAAATTTATATCAGATTCTTAAATATTTTTCGTTTCTGCAGTTGGCCATGTATAATCAATCATTCACCAATATTGCAATCTTTTTTTCCCCAAACAGATAGAACTTAGTGATGACTGCCTTTCCCCTTTTGGGCAGCAGGCAGGAAAGGAAAGGACCAGGTGATTCCTGAGTGAATGCTGAATGTCAGAAACAAAGTAATTGTCTGTTCCCTCACAGCTATCACACAGAAGTGTGAACAGAGGGAATTCACATACCTTGTTACCTCCTGTTGCAGTCTGGAAACGCTGGGCACATAGAACATTACCCCAAAGAAAAGCAAAGGCTCATTGGCAAATTTGTCCAGCTGCTTCTTCAGAGGCTTTTCCAGTTCAACCCAGCGGGCTTGCTGGCTCTTGCTGAGAAACCAAAGGCCAAAGTAGTGTGTCTAGATAAAGAAACAAAATAGTGTCAGTTTATCCTTTTCAGCTAGACCACACACCAATGACACCAATGCAAAGAACAGATGGCACTGTGTCAAATCTGCCATTTCCATATATAAAAAAACAGAGGTGTTTTGTTGTTGTTGTTGTTTGGTTTGCTTTTTTTTTTTACTGTCATTCTGTGATTTTTAGAACATCCTTGAAGACAAATTAACACTGCAGTATAATGCACTTCATATGCAGTACTATCAATCCTCTTATCTCTCCAAATACATTACGGGGTTCTGTCTGAGATTATGGCATAGATAACTAACTGATTTGCAGAAAATGTCTGGTTCAATTTTATTATTTGACATGCTTACACCTGTACCTTGTGAACAGACAGCAAACAGCAAATATTAAGTCTTAATCAAAGCGCAGAGTGTCATGAGATCACACCCATTGCAAACAAAAGGACAAGGCAACCCTTCCAACTCTTCCTATTCAATGCAAACTTTCAAGTAGCTTCTACTAGTTTAAAACCCTAAAACAAATGAAATGCTTATTTTGTTGTTACAGCTTAACTTAACTGGACAATCCTTCCGCATGCAGTCACAATACTTTGTACATAGCACCACCTTTCCAGTAAAGATACTGGAGAGAAACCTACACACATTTGCCAACATGTATTTACCAACGCCAGAACCATTTTCCTGATACACTATACATAATATTCGCATTCTAAAATAAAAATCATTCACAAGGTTTTATGACGTGCAAGTAAGTACTGGAGAAGACAAGTTGTTTCCTCTAGGCTCTTGAAAAATAACCATGTTTAAAAAGCTTCAGCTATTTCATATACAGCGTCAGTCTCAATCGTTGTGGTGCATCCCTTAAAAGGGACAAAAAACTGTTCCTGGTGGGGAGTAATTGACAAGGAGCAGTGTTCAGAAATAGAATTTTAAGTTCTATAAACTGGTAGTAAGAAGCTGAAGGCATGTCTGATTCATCATGAAAAGTTCTATCAAAAAGCCCCTAAACCACCTACGCACTGTGCCAGTACTGTCCATAAATGCATGTTACAATTAACACTTAGTACTACAACTACAGATCTGAAGGAGTAAAAAAGCACTTGTGCTTATTGAAGGAAATAAGCCATCCCTTCCATTAGTTTAGATTAGCCCTAAATGAAATAAAATACTTATTTTGTTGTTACAGCTTAACTGGACAACAATCCTTCCACAGGCAATCACAAGCTTTTATACACAGCACCACCTCAATTAAAAATACTGGAGAAAGGGTAAGAAAAAAAAAAACTTATTTCCTGTTTTGTAAAGTGTTCATTTGAAATTACTTTCAATACATTCCAAAAGTTTGGCCTAGAAATCAACCATCAAGATTTCTCCAACCAAATTTTCCAGATACTCTCATTTTCAAAAATCTGTTATCAAAAATAGAGACAAATTGCAACGTGGCATTTTGCAAAAGCAGGCATCACAAGTCTGTTCCACTTTAGAAACAGAAAGGATACTTCTCTAAAAAACACTATAACTACCATGACTTAGCATCCAAGACACACACAACTAATGCAATACTGAAACTTTAAAATACTTAGAAATTTCAACAACGCATCATAAGCAACATTGCTCTAGTCTTTTGATTGCTGATAAACATGCAAGAAAATCATAAGCAAAAATGCTGAACAGTAGTATAGGTGTATTTACTTTAGGGTCTCATTGTGCACATAGTTCATATCCATATCATTCATATAATTTTCCAGAATGTCCAGATTAGCATTTAGCAAAGGTAACGAATTCAACTTGATTCCTCAGTTAACTCTGTCAAATCTGCAGTACGCCTTGCAAATGCCTCGTTCTTTCTCTTTAACAGTAGCTTGGGTACAGCATAGCAAGCTGGTTCCTTTTTTGAAGAAAATCAGTGCAATATTTCCTTCTAGAATTTGAAGTCAGTCGGTCCAGGAGACAAAAAAATCCAAGCGGATCAGCATGGGGTAACCTTAAAACAAAAATTCACTAACCGATTAGCTGATAGATGCCTATTCTCTCTCCAGAGTCATCACTGAATTAAGAAGTTCTTTTTGACCAGCTCAGTGTGATAGGAATTAAAGTAAACTAGCAACTAAGACGACTTGCAGCCTGAAGTCTAAAATAATTATTCAAGGGATTGAGGGCATTAGAATTGAACAGCTTGAATGAGCACGTTGCCTACTGAACAGCTGGGCAATGAACAACAAAAATTTAGTTTTGTTACAGTAGAAGTTTCTTCAAGTATCAAATCCAGGAAAGGAAAAAAAGGAAAAATAATACAATCTGAATCACTTCTAAGCAATATGAAGAGAATGCTGCTTCTAAGCTTCTGGAGTAGAGCAGATACAGCAGACCACCCCTTGGGAAGCATGCATTTCACAGTGCCAAAAGATGACCATTTTTCCTGGAAAGCAGCCTGGAAAGGATCAAGCACTTGCAGACAAAACACAAGAACTGCAGAATGGAGATTGAGTCACAAATGCATGCCCTCAGAAGAGAAGACCAACACAGTTATCTGAATATCAGCTTCCAGTAGCCAGGAATTTTTCTTCTTGAAAATGTTAGAATTTTCTAACAACTCTCTGTGCAGAAGGACTTCCTCATCCACTACCACAAATGCCTAAAGAGCTTCTACCCCAAGAAACATCAGTACTTCTGATCAGGAACAAAGGAACACAGGACTGGAAATGGCTGAACCTCCAAGTTGAGCACACTGTGACCTGTCACATGATAGTGCAGAAAGCCTTACCAAATCTGAGTCAGGTGCTGCCATACTCTAGCCTACAGAGCATTTTTTGCAACACAGAGAAATCACAGGTTAGATGGTAGGATGATTAAAAACAAACAAACAAAAAACCTTTTCATCTATAAGCAGCTGGCAAATTGCAAAAGCTGATCTACTTGTCCATCTCAAAAGTAAACCATTGGCAAAAAAAAAAAAAAAAAAAAAAAAGTACACCTATTTGTGGCAGGCCCCAAATTAACACAGGTTGCTCTAGTAAGTAAGAACAGCAAAGTGGCATAGAAAATAAATGATGCCTTCACTTCTAAAAAAACATACATCTTCTACTCAGGGTTGGCGGATGGGCAAAAATATACTTTTTATAACACTAAGCATATGCATACACATTCAGCTTATGGACAAAGAGCTCCAGTTGCTCGTGCTTTTGGTCTGTCTAATCCAGAAATGAATGAAGAGCTCTGTATGAAAAGAGTTTGCAAGAGTTTTTTCGCAAGGCTTGGGCATTATCCTTGCCTATCAGGCATCACTTCATCAGTGTACAAGGTACCCATGCAGATGCTGTGGTATGAATCTGTGAATCCAAAGTGCACTATGTGAAAAGGTGATCTTTGAAACATGGTAATACAAAAAAACTGGACACAAAAACTGTGTGAATAATTTCTTTTTTTTTTTTTTTTTTAAAAAAAAAAAAAGAGATGTTTTTCCTGCTAGGTCAGTCAATGATGCAGTCATTTTAGACTTAGACTTAGCCACAGTCCTAAGTCCAGAGCTACGCTTGTCTTTTTGTCAGGCAAAACCAGCAGAACTGTCAACACCACCAGACTACTTGCACTCACTAAACCAGCAAATCTCACTCACAAGAATCCAGTGAGACAGGCTTAGTGTTTATTAAAGCATCTGGTTAAGTGGCCAACTAAATATTTATCCTCAGGGAAGAGGCAGAGTTCCAGCTCCTCCGGGTGAAAGCATTAAGCTCTGCTGTCCTGGGGTTCTCACTCAGCCAGCTGTTCCTAGAAGGTCTCTGATCTAAGCACTGCCTGAACTCAGCCCTAGCAGGGTTGGAGAGAAAAGTCCAACCAAGTCAACTGTGGAGGCAAACTGGATGCTGAGCAAGAGTCTCCAGTAGTATCCAAGGAAGGAGCATCTTCTAGGAAAAAAAGAAAGAAAAAGAAAAGCAGAAAATTGCCACCCCTGTGGAGCAGCTCACCACTCTTTCTTTGGCTGGGTTTTGGAACACCACAGTGCTGGAGGTACCACTATGGAGTTGAGCTTTAATAAGTAAGTTTGGTCAGAAAGAACTTTGCCCAACACCCTTTGCTGATCCCACTTCCCCTCAAAACAAAACCTCCACAAAACAATACAAATTACTACCAAAACATTCTAAGATCTGTAAACTTATTTTTTAAAGTTAATAAAGAGAACAACAGGAAGAAACAGAAGTGAAATCTCACAACTCTCAGAGTTGTACAGATTACTTCGCTATTTGAAGTAAGTTCACTTAGTCTCACTTGAAAGGAAAATGGTATTGTACTGAAAAAAACTCTTTATAATCTATGCAGATCTGTGCAAAATTATAAGAGGATGCTTCTGACTTCATCCTCCTCCTCTTTGCCCTTCCTCCCCAGTCTTCTTACTCATTTTTACATAATGTTAAGCTTATAAGCTCTGTCCACTGGGACTTGTAACTGTTCATCTACACAGACTGATGCTTTATCAAGAACTTTGCTGAAAGGGATAAAAACAGATTTTACAGTAGTTACCTGGCTACACTTTCTATTGACCTATTCCTGAACCCTGACTCAGTCAGGGAGTGAGCTGCATTCCCCAGAGATCAAACAGAAATATGCATAATCCATTAGATACTGTTTTTCAGTTATGCACAGTGTAATGATTGATGGTTCTTTGCAACAATATATATACAGTTATATCAAACAGTTTTGCTTTCTGGCAGAAGCTTCAAACAGTTTTTTTGTTTGCTTGTTTGTTTGTTTCTAAAAAACAGCTCGAGAGAAACATGTATACATTCCTAGCACTAAGGTAAATGTTGGGGTACACCTGGGATCTATTTAAACATAAGAACAAATGAAGGTATTGAACAAAAGTTGTACTTTATTTTTAAAAGAACAGGCATTTTCACCTGGGACTGCATGGAGACTTGGAACAGGATGTTAGCTGTTCTGTGCACGTGGGATTTAATGAAGTTTGGTTTTTCTTTACTTGTACATCACAGAAGTCTTTTGCTTCATTTTGGACAATTCACGAAGCCTCTCTCCAACACAGATTCTTGCAAAACTGCTTTACTTCCTCAACCAATACAGTTAGTGTGGCCTCTCCATTCTACTCAGCTATCAAGTTGTGAGAATCTCATAGACTAAGTTTTGTCAAAATATCTTTGACCTTTCCGTGAAATTTGATTGGTCAGTGACTGCAAACTTATGAAAACTCTAAGGAGGGAAGAGGACTGTCACAGAATGATTGCATTAGCCTTCTCTCCTCTGTCAGCCATGTCATGAAGACTAGAGGGTCCAAATAAGAATTGAATTTATGGTCAGAAAGTTCAGCACACATTAACAAGCATCTCAGAGCTTGCTAGTTCCAAAGATTTCTTACATGAGGAGCAAAGAGGATGAAGGCACACCTATGGGTTTGAAGATGCAAGTAATTCTCTTCCCTCCTAAACAAGCAGCAGTGGATGCTTCTAGAATCAATCAGAAGGGGAAAAAATAGAAAAGAGACTCAAGAACACTTCTGTTAAAATATGCTGTACTGTTGAAATCTGAACTTTACAAAATTGGTTCAATACTGCCAAAACTTTGTTTAGAAAAAAAAGTGGAGAGGGTGATGAAAGAAGGGGAAAGTGTTCCAACAACATCAAAGCATTCTCTCCTGTGTTGTTAAAATATTTTTTCATCTTAAAACACAAACTCTTTGTGCTGACATTTCTTTTTGCATGACACAAACAATTTTGAAAATGAAAGAAAACACCAAAGCAATACAAAGCCCCCATGAAACTGAACACTGCCCAAAACAACTTCCTTTGCTACTATACTGTCTGATCTCTTTTTCTGGAAAATTTTGAAACTTCAGGCTTCATTCCAAAGTGGAACAAAACATATTCTGAAATCACAATATGCTTTGTGAAGAAGAATGCTAACCCACTGATAGAGCTATTGTTCACAGAGGCAGGTGCATTTGTACAGAAAGAATCTTCAGGCCCCACACTGTGCCAACTTGATAAACCACAAGGAATACAAGGAGAATCACTTCATTCTTTTCACTCCTCTCTGCACTGGAAGGAAAAGGAAACATCTAGCCTCTGCACAGACACTCCAAAGTGTCCCCAACAACACAAAGAAATCGTTTTCAATTCCTGGGAACTCCTCATATCTAAAAGACTGGGGTAGTAGAGATGCTTCTATATGTTTAAAAATACGATTATAAAAAAACACCATACCATCTTCTGACTCTGTCCTATTCCTGCTGGCACATTCCTCTGCCTATTCCACAGAAAGACAAGTGAGATTCTTCTCTCACTCGTTATCATTGCCGATCTGCAAAATGAGTGTTTGTTTAGCTCTCATCTGCATTAGCTATTTGTGTGCTACCTTCCAGTTGCCACCATTACAAAGGGCCCTAAATGTAAGACACTGCAAGATCCAGCAGGACATTCAGACAATATGGAGCAGTTCCCAGGCAATGATTTTCAATCTGTGGTTTGCAAAAGCCCGTAAGCATGCAGGATACTTAAGGGGTCCACGGAGTTTAAGATAAGACAGTTCATTTGTGCCACACATTGGAGGGAGCTTTCTCAACAGTTAACAGACAAACTCTACAGCAAGAACTAGAAAATAAATGATTTTGGTCTTTAATAAGATAAGTCTGGGTCTCTAAACTTTTCTGTAGTAAGTATTGCAAATGAAAGAAACCTTTTGTTGTTTTAGATACTAAGTATTTCAGTTAAACAAAAGAAAGAAAAAGACACCCTCAAATTTTACTAGCTGTTCAGTTTACTAGAACAATTGTTGCCTGTTGTAGTAAGTTAGTAATAAGAATATATTTGTATCAAGGTATACATTAGAAAGCCAGAGCGCTCATTCTCACTGATATAACTCAACCTACCATGTCAATGAAATCAGGGTTTCACTCAGACAAACATGACTGCAACTTGGCGTATCAGCATCTTGATTCAGAAAGTAACTCTCATCATTTTCTAAGAAAAGAAGAACTTTGTCCTCATATTTCAAAGAGCTCTCAAAGCTACAGTGAAAGAGCAATAGCACAGCACTCTGGGTGTTGCTCTATCTTCAGTTTTCACACAACCAGAAGATGTTTGAGCTCCAGCTGTTGGTCATACCTGGCCAGCTCTAAAAGTAACAGGACTCATATGAACAAGGACTGCCTGAACTAAATGACATAATTAGGTTGGAAGGACCTTAAAGATCACCCAGTTCCAGCCCCCCTTACAACAGGCAGGGCTGCCACCCAGCAGATCAGGCTGCCCTGGGTTCCACTCAGGCTGGCCTTGAACCTCCAGGGATGGGTCATCCACAGCTCCTCTGTGCCAGTGCCTCACCACACTCTGAGTAAAAAATTTTCACCTAATATCTAACCTAAATCTCCCCTCTTTTAGTTTAAAACCATTTCCCCTTGTCCTATCACTATCAGATGGTGCAAGAAGTTGGTCTTCCTCCTGTTTATATAAGCTCTTCTCAAGTACTGGAAGGCCACAATGAGGTCTCCCCAGAGTCTTCTCTTTTCCAGGATGAACAAACCCAGTTCCCTCAGCCTGTCTTCATAGGAGAGGTGCTCCAGCCCTCTGATCATCTTCACGGCCCTCCTCCAGACCTGTTCCAACAACTCCACATCTGTCTTGTGCTGGAGGCCCCCAGGCCTGGACACAGTACTCCAGATGGGGCCTTACCATGGCAAAGCAGAGGGGTACAATCCCTTCCCTCATTCTGCATCTTGTGATGCAGCCAGGATACAGCCGGCCTTCTGAGCTGCAAGTGCACACTGCTGGCTCATGTCGACAAAAAATGTGTCAAGTTATAAAGTGACAGATGGCCTTTCCTGGTTACTCTTACCTCACGTAATTCCAGCCTCTGAGCAACAGCTTCCAAGCACTCCTGCCCTGTGCTCTCCACAGAGAGAGTGCACTCGATGACATTGCTGTCCAGCAGACGGATCCGTGTCACAAAGCAGTTCTTGCTCAAGACATTATAGCGTCTGGTCCGTCGTAGTTTCAGCCCGAAAGGCATGGCTGTTGGCCTAGAAGATTGTCTCTTCCCTTTACTCTTCTAAGAGTATCAGCACACTTTTTGACTTGCCTTAAAGGCCTCTTCAATTGGTACTACTCTCCTCCAAAAATGGAGGTGGCTGTCCATTCCCAGGGCAGGCTCCAAGGAATTCCTGTGAAATACATACAAATAAACAGAGTTAGGTGTGAAATTCGATGTTCCCAAAGATCAGAGGAACGAAAGACTGCTGAAGGGAAAACAGTCACATTCAAATCCTTAAACAAACACCTCTACACATATGACTATCAGGCAATCACGACATCTCCCAGAAGAACACATTCTACAGCAAATCTTTCAAAAATTCTATCTTGGCACTGAATTTAAGGCATAAACTTAATTGCAAAGTCACTCTATGAGAAGCTCAATGAAAACTGCAACTCTACTGGGCAAATATAGGGAGGTGCTAACTTTCCCACCATTACCCCACCACAGGGGTCTATAACATAATCTTCAAGTTAGGTTTTTGGTGTCCTCAGGCAAGCTTTGAAAGCTAGCTAAAGTAGCTAAGGAAGAAAGGAATTTAAAAGAGGCGAGAGTTTGAAAGAAGAAAGTCTGCCTGTAGTCAACAGGAAATGCATGTGCTCAGTACTTAAGAAATATCAGACCTGAAGCATGCATGTGAAAGGCAAGAAGGATCCAAGACTTTACAGAAAAGGTTCCTCTGAAGCAACTACTGACATTTTGTTCCCTTCCAGCTGCAATGCAGTTCTGCATTTCACCCTTTCAGGTGGAATGAGTAACTGTCAGATGTCAGAGAGCAGAATAAAACCAAGTGGGAGAAAGAGAACACCAATTCTGGACATCTCTCCGACTACTCCTCCTAAAATTTATCAAGGAGGCACACAGCTGTTAAACCAAAATACAAAGCAGACAAAAGAACTAAAGATACAGATTAATGACACCTGAAACACTGTGATCCTTTTTATTTATTCTTTTCTTCATTTCAGAAAGGATCAGACTCCATTTAAATCAAAACAAAGCATATGTACTGGCACAGCCAGACTCATAGTGTCATTTCCTACATGCAGGCAGGAATTAAATAAATGAAAAAAGAAAAAAAACAACCACAGGAATTGCTTGTTACCAAACGCTCCTAGTTTAGTTTGAATATTCTGGAGAAAGAGATAGAGGAATGCTAACAATTGCACTTAGAAGTCCACTTCCCTTAAATAATACTGAAAATAAAAACTAGCTCCCATTTCTTCGTAAGGGACACAACAGAAAGCACTGCCAGCAGAGTATGCATCATTTAGCTGAATGTGACATTTCAAATGGACAGTACACTGCCCACATGTATTGTTTGGCATAGAACTGACTGAATCCGTCTTTAACGAATGTAGTTGCTATGGGGATTATTAGAAGCAGCCCAATTGACTACAGTGATTATTATTATACTCAAAACATAACTATCACATATTTGATCAAGAATATTTTCTAAAGCCAATATAACTTGTCATTTTATCCAACAATCCAAACCAAAGTCACATACTGAGAAACACAAGCAACTCCTCATTATTTGGGTGTGCAAATTACTCTGGTAATTTGCTTTACCATAGAAATACCTACAGGCTCTGAGAAAGGACATGTACCATTTGACAGAGATGCAAACAAATCAGTCAGCTTAGCTGCTGTACTTTCTCATTTCTAACTTTTGTGAGTACAAACATTATTTCTATATCTTCAGGATTGCATGAAAGAATTTCTATACCTTGCATCACTGCAATATCAGAAGCTATCAAACATTAATGAATTCATCCTCAAAACAATCTGATGAGGCAGGGACATATTAACTATGATTCAGAGAAGAGGAATTGAAATGAACATCATCAGCTTGTCACTGGAAGAACAGAGCAGAACCATATATAAAAAGCAGGTCAGTCTATGCTTTAACCCCTAGCTAACTATTTGGCAGTTATTTTTCCCATGAATCTATCCAAAACCACAACATGAAGTTGAACAGTGGGAAGAATGAAAGGAAATTACAAAGAATTAAGGGTGTGGAGGACTATATATATCTTATCAAGAACAGTATTTTTGTTCAGTCTCTGGCTTTGCAGATAATTTTAAGTGGGACACAGAGGGTTTTAGCTAGTCTTTTAAAAAAAGTAATATCATACTCCATAAAAATTAAACTATCCAACTCTTTAATGATCCACTGTCCCAGAAGACTTGCATACAGACAATCTGTTCTGGAATAAAACCACCAATTCCCACACAGAGAGAATGTTAATGGGACTACAAATTAATTGTTCTATCATCTGGTTTGCTTATGTAAATAAGGGCAATATTTCCTTCACTTTTCTAGAAGCAGAAAAGTAAGATGAATTTTTTCTCAAGTCTATCAAGGGCCAACAGCTGGCCTCACTTTCTCTGGATGCAGACATACAAATGGGTTAACGTCTTTGAGTTACACTTTGTATAACATGGTTTGGGTTACCTTTTTATTTCACACAAATATACAAGAGAGCACATAATCTGCAATATGAAACATCACACTTGAGATGATGAGGCTGAGACAACATCAACTGGCTCAAATCAGACCACTCTTTAACAATTGTTAATTCTGAATTTAATGCACATGTCTAATTTTCCCATTTACACACTTTCTGGATTTTGGACCACCTTTACACTTTGGTTTTCTATTAGGCTGTCACTTTTAATTTTTCTGTTAAGCCCTCTAAGTAAGATCTTAAAGGTCCAGATCATTTACAGATTCCTAAATCAGAGTACTATGCTTCATTATGTTTGTATAATTTTAAAAGCATCAGGACTCTCAATTTTCACTTGTAGAATTTTGTAGACAACTGAAAAAGGAGAAGGCTGGAAACAGAAGGGTTCTGGTCTACTACAAGAAATGCTGAGTTTTTCCACAAATAGAGCTCTTCACCTGAAAACTTGACAGAAAGTTAATCAAAAACCCATAACTTTTCTGAATGCAAAAGGGAGACAACTGTGTCAACATCTCTACTATAGTCAAGTTTCCAGGCTCCACAGAGAATCTGTGCCTTGTTCTCGGACGTCCAGTGAAAATATGTCTCTTGCTCTAAATCTTGTGTGTTGATGGTAGGCAGTACTCTGGCAAGCAAGTAGGCCCATGAAGACAGCAGACATGAGACCTGCGCCTGCCCACGGCAGAGGGTGAATTTTCAGACAAAACATGGGTTCAAGAATTCAGTGACACGCCTTTGCTTCATACGCACTTGCACGTCAGGCGCCATTTTGTCAGACTGCTCCTGCGCTGCCGTCTGTCGCGCAGCAGCAAAGCGCAATGGAATATTGGCGGGAAGGTTTAACCTCTACTGCCGCACCATCAACATATGGCTCTGATGGCATGGGCCAACATATTACAAGAGGCATTACTTTCAGAGCAGCCCTCATATAAGTATTATCCTGTTTGAGCAAAATAAGAAATAAAATGAAAAACGGGCCAGTCCATGTGCTAGCATAAACACTTAAATCCTATTTCCTATACTGTATGTTTGAAAAGGCCACATGGACAAAGCTAATGGCTAACACAGCAAAGATAAAGAATGAAAACAGACTTGACACAGAATAAAAATCCAACTCTTAACCCACAATCACATTCCAAACATAACCTAAGTTCTCTTAACAGCTTTCACTAGAAAACAGCTCAAAGAGGGAGTCTCAGTTAAACCTCTGTTAAGACCACATGAAACAATGAGTACACAAAAATCAAGCCAACATTTTACACCCTTTCCAAATCTGAAAAAAATCAAACTAAACAGAACTATAAAAAACAACTCCTCCTCTGCTCTACCAACAACATCTGGAGCTGGCTGGAGTTTCTTAGTAGTAGTTTTTGCAAGGCAGACTGAAGGGACAAAGGAGAACAGCTCAGTATTTCATGAGGAAGAGGTCATGTGGCAGAAGCTCCTTTGTGTGATGAAGGACACTGCTCCATTAGCACAGCATTCACTTGCTTCCTTAGATATATTTATAGCCAAGAGAAAAGAAAGGCCAATAAATAATTATAGGCCAATACAACTCTCGGCACATTTGCAAGCATGTGACTTGCTCCTCTATTCCAGACTTCACATATAGGAGTTGAATGCAATGATCCTTATAGGTCCATTTCAACTTGCATTTTTCAATGATTCTATATACTACTGTATGACATTATTGTATGAAAGTTTAAAAAATAATAATGAAAAGGCATCTGATACAAAATGCACTTAAAGTAGAATGCATTCTCTCTCTTCACTGGCTTCTGTATGCAATTTTTGAAACTCCAGGAAAAAAGCAATTACTGTCAAACAGCAGCCTGTATTTACCAACAGCATCTGGCTCCCTTCCAGCATTCCTGGCCCAGCAGGAGCAGCAGCACACCTCACACAGCTATGTAACCCTGGGCTGGGCATGAAACCACAGCACTTGGTGTGCACTCATGTGGGGTGCAGCCTACGGTTTGAGGGAAGAATAAAAATAACAGTGTTAGGGAGACAGGAAGTGCAGCACAATCCATCTACGTTTCACTGAGTTCCACATAAGAGAGGACATCTCTACCTGTGAAACAGCCTCCTCTCATAGAGGGGCTTCAAGGCAGCAATCACCTACATGTACACAGGGTGGCCAAGAACTCCCCAAGGACATTTAAAGCAGAAGACAACAGCTATTGTTAATATCACTGTGCATCGCCAGATGCATCACACAACACCAATACACAGCGAGCAAAGATGATCTCAGCATTTCTACTTTCCCAGCTCCATTCCAAATTTCCCTTCCCAGTTTTCCATCAGATCCATCTACTGTAACAGATTCTTTGTATTTGTTACACTGCATTTTCCCTGTGTCCTATGAGTCAGATTCTACTGTAACTACTACACTATCTACAGTAGTTCAACTCTTGTTCAAGTAAAAAGAATAATTCTGATTCTGACCAAAGTTCTACCCTTGTTTTCTTCACTTTTGATGACATACCTGCATAAATGTCATTAGAGACATTCTTTTCATCCTATTCTCCTCTACTAGAGCAACTCTTCTGGTGTAAAAGCATCTTTCTTATGCAACCACCGAGCAGCTCCATGGAAATTTAGTGGATCAAAGTCCGTTAGGCAGACACATAATAACTCTTGTGTGTCTAGGAGAAGAAAT